TTATGGAATCCCTATAGATCCCTTAAGATCCCTTGAAAGTAGAGGCACGGGCGCCTCACGGGACCCGGGAGCGGCGAAGAAGCTGCGCAGGCGATCAGCGCCTTAGCTCCGCGCCAGGTGCCGCGGACATCTGATGACCAGAAGACAACTACGAATGATATAGATAGATCGAATTTGTATATATGCATATATATATATATATGTATGCACAATACTATACATATACACATAATATGTTTATATATATATATAGATATGTATATATGTCTATATGTATATATGTTTATATGTATGTATATATATATATATATATATATATATATATATAGACGTGGTGGTAGTAACCTGGTAGTATGTGCCGCAGAAGGGAGCACAGATGCCAGTCACACCGTCACACACAGTCAGGCCTTTGAAAGTACGTGGAGGTAGGTAGTTGTGCGTGCACATGTAAGTAGGCGCATGAAGACAGAGGATTCTTCATGGCAAGTCAGTTTTTGCGAAGAGCGTTCAAGCTGCTGAAGACGTGCATCGTCGAGCTTTCTGTGGCTCTGTGTCACTTTTGGGGACTCTGGGTCGAGCACGTAGTGGCGCATGGCCACGGCGGGGGGTTGTTACCGCAACCCACAGTGCTGGAAATCTGACATGCCAGGTGATGGTGGAGCTGTGCCAGCGTCGGTATGGACAGGTCATGACATCCTTACAGATGGGTCTGCCCATGCGGCCGCCGTCGAAACTCCGGCTTTGCCTGCGAGTATGTGTGGAACTACTGTTGATGATATAAATCCTGCATTACCCATAATAAGGAGTATACCATAATTCCCTTAGTCTAGGGTCATTAAGGTAATGCAGGATTTATATCATCCACCGTAGGGACCTCTTTCACTATGTTGGCAGCGGTTAGCATTCACAGGAGGCAGCAAAAGGTTTGAGGACTCCCCGGCAGCCAAGGAAGCTGGACTTGCTGGGCAACGTCCATGGAGGACTTCTTCAACATGAACTGGCACCGATTCTCCAGGCAGCACGCAGTGTCGGTGCCGCTATCCTGCCAATCGACAGGCCGCAATCCGCTACTCGAAGTCGAGTGGCTCACAGGCTTTGGCATCCCAAGTTGCTGCAGGGCCTCTTGTCCTTTGCCGGCTACTCATTAAGGAAGCAGCGGGACAGTCTGTCACCTGCACAACCCTACGATGCAGAAGAGATCCGACGCGAGTTGGAGCGCTGCTGTCCCGTTGCGCATGACGTTTTGATTGATGAGCGCAGCTTTTACTTGGCACAGCAGGTGGCCCCGTGCCCTCCGAGCCCGGTGCCTCTATCAACACCCCAAGCCTAAGGAGCTAATCACCAACGTTCCCTTGGAACAGGTGGCAGTCTCCTCAGTGCCGGATACTGATGTCGCCGTGGTCTGCAGCGCGCCGATGAGCACGTACTTGGTATCTGCACTTCGCCAAGTGCCTGACCTGCAGAAGGCGAAGGACGACGGAGAGGGGCAATAATACGGTTGATGATATAAATCCGGCATTCCTTATAATTGGGACCCTAAACCCGTAATATGCGTAATACAGGATTTATCTCATCAACCGTAGCACATGTGGCTGGGAGGTAGATCTCGTGTTAGCTGTTGATGTTGTCGGCTCCAGGATTGCGATTTCGGAGCCGGGAATCAGGGGAGTGTTAGTTTTGATACCGCAAACTTCCTATCAGGATCCTCAAGCTGGTGCGACAAGGCTTTTGAAGTTGGCCAAGCGGGGCGTCCCAGTGTGGCCGCTCTACGCTTTTGCCTATGGCCTCGTGCCTGCTGGGCTCACTGCCTTCGCCGCCGTTTGCTTCTGGGATGCTTTCCTATACCCGGCCTTGTTTCAGGAAATGTCTAGCCAGCCAGAGGCATGAGTGCTGTGGCAGGCATCGCGCAGTAAAAGGAGTGAACGACGGGGTCAGTCCGGCGGCCTCCAAGATCAACACGAAGTCGGTCATCCTGATCATGTTCCATCGGTTCGACCGCCGCCATGCTGTCGCACTGAAGCTCTCAACCCTCATTCGTAACTTAGAGTTGCTGAGCCTCAGACTCAAGCTCCCTCAACCCTGACTCCTAAGCCTGAAACCCCAAACCCAAAAAGCGGCAGTCTACCCCCCCTACTTTTTGTGCTCCAGCCCGAATCGTCCAGCAGAAGCACTCATACGACTACTTTCGAGCTACCGTTGGGGTTGCCATAATAGGGCTCGTTTGTAAGCGTTCCCATACGGGTGACACTCAAAATTACCCATACCCTTGAAGATGACACAGGATCATTCAATCAAGATTCCGTCGCGCCCCGGGGCCATACGCCTGCCATGAGCTCCCCCGATTTCAAGCCGTTCATTTTAATAGGCTTGCAAAAGCCACAAGGTTTCAATCACTACCCAGCTTTCATGCGATCTCCTGGCGAGGATCCTCATCGGATCGCATCTGTCGGTCACGACGGGCACCTGTGCCGAGCCTGGGTGGCTGCATATCTGCCAGGGAGGTCTAGTAAGCCAGAAGTGTGATCGCTACATCAGGCAGAGATTCGATGTTCCCAATTGGAGGTCTAGCCGTACTTGAGAGGTACTTCTGGGGTTCTTTCGCTGTTGTTATGAGGATTGCCGCAGACAGCGTTGAAGGCTGTCCCTAATCGTCGCGAATCCCGAAAGTTTGGGGCTCGCGCCCCGATATACCCGGCCAATCTGTCGCAATTTTGTTTCTGTATGCCATCGCTGCCGCATCTGCTACCACACAGAAGTTAACCGTCCCAACGCCACAGAGTTTATGCCACACCTCTAACCCACAGCTGAAACTATAGACTCGTGGTCCAACAGCTATTCCTTCACTTTGGGGAGGCGTGTTTCTCATTTCAATTGGCGGTGCGGATTCTAGTGGCGTGGAAGCGGCTGACATGAAGCAGTTCTCTTCAGTTGTCCCTTTGCAAGCCTGGAACCTTTGCCCATGCGAGCACACACAGCCCGCAACCTGAGTCGCATTCCCTTGGAAAGATTGTCAAAATCGCTCCGCAGACATCTCAGCCGAGCCTGGTTTAGAGTTGTCCTATCGCATGGCAAGCCTGTGGTGTGCAGACCTCAGCTGGGCAATTCGCACGCTCGCACTCCGTAGCGTATCAGTCACATGGTTCCTGGAAACCTCACGCGCTGAGACTCAAGGAACAGCGTCGGTCTAAATATTGTGTGCTGGCACCTAGGATCCTGCTTTCGAAAAGCGACTCTTGTTCTGTGTCCTGACTATCCCAGCTGTAACCCAGGAGACTGCTTTCAAAAAGCAACTCTCACACTTGCGTCGCCTGGCATGGTCGTTCTCTTCATGAACATCATCAGCATCATCATTGCAATCAGCAGGGGTTCAGCAGATTCAGTGACAACAGCGGCAGCAGCAGCAGAGGAAGCCGCAGTATTCGTCCTCAGCAAACGTGTGCACAGAAATATATTTGCAGCGGAAGCCACTCAGTCCGTAAGTTAGTATCCACAGCCCCAAAATCCCGGAGTCCGAGCTTTCTGTGCGCAGGTTGCAGTCGGTTGGAGGAGCCCAGGGGCCCCAAGGATGCACGCCCAGCCCTCCACATGATACAGAGACCTCAAAATTTAGAATAGGTTTTGAGGCCCTTTCTTTCTTTCGTGAGGCTGTGGGTCCAAGTTCGGACGCGCCTACTGCATGCGAATTCAACAAAAAGCGGTGAAACAAACACTGAGCCCCACACGATCTCCTGTGCCACAAGCGGCTTCAAGCCACTCGGCAAACTCGCCAGCATAAGGAGCGCGGCATGGTGCTCTAACATGGCATCTCCTCCCTAACTGAGCCCAGCGAAATACAATCGCAAGCCATGCCAGCACTGACCGAAGCCAGAGCAGATGCTTACGTTGGTTGCGGAGCGAGCACGAAGGAACTTGCCACAGTGAAGAGCAACTGCAGGGCGCAGGAGGAAGTGTGAGAACAACGCACGCCCACTCGACATTGTGTGGGGGAAGAAGGGACAGAGGGAGATAGCGCCATCCCCCGCCAGGCGACAGGCCAAGCCAACTCAGATCGAAATCGAGGCACTGGCCCGCCACAAGCCCGGCAAGTCCAGCCGGCCGTGGGGAGCGGAGCAGAGGCAAAATGCATGGCTCAAAGCGGCCAGCCTCGGGATCAGGCGAGGGCCGCGCATGGCGCTCGTCGCAGAGTAGGTCAACCTGAAAGCAAAGGAGGACATCGTCAGCCCGGTCCCTAACCGGTCCGGCATCGAGCTCATCCCGCCAGAACACCAGTGTATCCTTAAGGAGGGAGAACGGCTCAACAAAGGTCTGGACAACCTCAAGAATCTGGGTGTCCTCGCTGAAAACACCTTCCCTGAGGGCCTTAAGGAGTGCATGCGAAACATCTGGCATAGCTGCTTGCAGATGTCCACTGCCCCGTCCGGCTGCTGCCCGACTCTGGGTATGACCATCAGGCAAATCGCACACTGGAAGGAGATCGGCGTCTCCTCGTTCGACAGCCTGCCGACATCTTACAGCTGATGAAAGATGGTTGCAAAGCCTGGTGCGATTTGCAAAAGTGGTTCCACAGGCTTGGCATTGCCTGCCCCTGGCCAAACGACGCGCCTTGGTACGGTATCCGTGCTGTAGGGCTGCATGCGACGACCAGGTGTGTGCATTGGGGAAGGCACGGCGGCACATCAGACATGCATGCTCCGAGAGCGGAGCGGCGACCGCGATCGGCGCAACCCGTTCCCAGGTAGCCCGGGCAAAGTTGTCCACTAGTACTTGGGCGGTACGTCGATTACTATACCACGAGACGGCCCGCTTGATGAGCCCTTTCCATTGCTTGGGCCGGCGCTTGACTAACTCAGTCCAGTTCTGCCAATCGTCACGATGAGGGCCAAGGCCACTAGTGGCAGAGACGGCGATGAATAGCCAGTCACAGGCCGCATGGAAAGCCTCAAGTGCGGCGTCATGATGTTGCAGCAGCGCCCAGGTGGCGTCCGGCGCATGAAGGATCATTTGACCAAGGAAACGGAGGCGTTCTGCATGGAGCAGCTCTTGCGGGGAGGAGATCCCGCAGGCGGCGTATACATCGTCCCTAGTCCAGCGTTGCGATGCATCATGCGGTATCCGGATGAGTTGCCGAAGCAGGGCAGTCAGCCCCTGCTGGAAAGTGGTCCATGCCTCCTGCGGGAGGCATGGCCATGCCCCGGCTCCTGCTATCAGTGCGGACAAAATATGTGCCCTGAAAAGCTGCACCCGGCGGTGAATGGCAATATGTGGGCATACGAAAATCTTCTTTCTGGCCTCCCCAAAGGCAGCCCTAGCCAAGGCGAGCCGGTTGCGGACCTCACTCATCATAGAGCCGTTGTGGGTGATGGTGGAACCCAAGTGGCGGTATTGAGACACCGCATCAAGCTTGACAGCGCCGGTGCCCTCACGGAGAACATGTAATTTTCCACCGCCCTGGCCAAAGATGTTGTCTCGGGCACGTTTGGAACCGGCTCCGCGGGGCACAAGAATTGCGGCTGACTTTTTGGGCCCAATGTTCGGAGTCAATCCGTGCGAGGAGACTGCATCGAACGTCAGGCCGGCAACGTTCCTGACAATGGGGGCTAGTTTTTCGGCCTCTGGTGAGACCACGCACGCTGCATGATCATCAGCAAAAATGATATCCTTTACTTCAACATATTGACAGGAGTCGCTATCACTAGCGGAGAAGGTATGGAGCTGACGGCTGCCGGTCCAAGGTATATTGGGGACAGCCTGTTTCGGGTATTGCTCGCGTCTCTCAAGGACTCGGGCGAATAAAATCGCAAAAATGATATCAGCGAGCGATATTCCGGGCCGGGTGCCTCGTTGTGTGCGAATGACGACCGGGTCGTCATGCATGTGGAACCAGGTGTCCACGTGCATTTCTCGGGCCAAGGCTCGCAGAGTTGCTGGGGGAAAGCACAGGATCCGTGCCCGCATAGGAGGCGATGGAATCGACATCTACTCCAGGAGCGAGGGCAAGGGACCGAACTACCTCGGAGAGGCTGGCATCCGACAAGTCTGACCCAAGTATAAGCTCCCGCACGACGGCGTAATATGCTGCCTGAAGGTCGAGGAAGAGGAGTGCGACCGATAGATTGTTAGTGCGGCCATAGGCAAGGAAGCTTCGACTCATGAGGAAGCCGAAAGCATGAGTTTTCCCCTGCCGGCTGCCCAGCTGGAGGGCAGGAGCATGACGCTCCATGAACTCCACAGATAAAGCACGGGTGGCCCGATGCAATGCCTTGCCAAACACTGGTTGCACAAGGATACCCCTATGAGCATCCGTGGACGCTTTATCTGTGGCGTTAGGCTTGGGAATGTGGAAAAGCCGACCCCCCTTGAAGCCGATTGGCTCGGATCCTTGTGTAAGAACCTTAACTAGAATCGGCCACAGCAATCCCGCAACGTCAACCGCATGGCCATGACATAAAGCGGGAGGGATGAGGTCAGAGCCACAGGCCTTGAAGGGCTGAGCCCTCCGTAGAGCCTCGACGAGATCGTCAAAGGCTGGTAGCTCCTGGCAAAGGAGGTGCTCCTGAGGCCCGCGCCGTTGTTGGCGCCGCACGCAATCAATCACAAGGTCCTCGGGCGTGCACTGTGTGCCCCCCTCTAGACGCGCAAAATGGTCCCGCCATGTTTTCTGTATCTCGGCAGGGCTGGTACATAGGACTCCCTCAGGATTTCGGAGCCGGGGGAGCGGAGTCGGCCCCTGCTTTCGAAAGCGCCGCGGCCGTATCAGGCGTTTAATCGCAGAGTGAACTTCAGATGCGCTCGCCTGGTCGACCTGTAGGTGAGCAAGGAAATTATTGCGGTCTTGTCTGCAGCCCTTGCGCACTGCCTTGCCAGCCAATCCGATGTGATACGAGAGCCACGCGATGGCAAAACGGACTTCAGTGAGCCATCGGCCCTGGAAGAGCTGCCGCCAAGGAGTCGCAGAGCGCCAGGCAAGCCATGCGCATCGAAGTCTGGCACTAGACAAATTGTACACGCAACGTCTGAGAGATTGCCGAAGCATTTTGAGGTGTTCGTGCAGCTGAACCGTGGCTTGCTGTAGGAAGTGCTGCCGCATCGGGCGGCCCTGCAGCGGGAAGGCAGATACCAGCTTCTCATACACGTGATCGACGACGATTGAGGCATGTTCATTGACATTGGCTTGCCAGGGGACCTTAGGCGTGTCCGCTAAAATGGCTCGAATACGTGGGGCGTTGACTGGGTCAACCAGGGCTCGGGGGTCGATCTTACGAGGCATACTATGGTGGGGCCGCTGGAAATCAAGATCACCGGCAGCGAAATGATCCGGTGCCGAGTGGCCTGCATGTATGTCTGCCAGTACTTCCGCACAGATGGTCGCCTCGCGCCATTCTGAGGGTATGGCGACGAAGTCACTTCGATCAAGCGTTTTGCTGCGCTTCTGATACAAAGTGCCCCCCGGGCCACGGGCAAATGCAGAGAAGGTGGAGGGGGACCAGGCCTGATGCCTGCCGATGAGAAGGCGAAATGCCTGGCCTGCTATGTCCTCCTCATCAGCCTCGTGCTCGCCTATGGCGTCATCGGCGATCGAGCCCAGACGTCCGTTGACATCAACCAGGAAAACCCATGGGATACCAACCGGAAGAGATGAGCATAATCGACTTATGTCCTGCCACCAGGCGGTACGCTGATCGGCCGGCCGGCCTCTATGTGGGCCATGCCCCGCGAATACACCAAGTCGGAAACTACCAAAACAGGCTTGCAAAGCCAAATAAGTAGGGGTGGCCGACAAAATAGCAACTTCATGTGAGGGCCAATCGGGGTCCGATCGGATCCAGACCTCGATTCCATAGTGTTTGCCCTCCAGACTACCTGATGCATATCGCCGAAAATGCTGCGCGCAATATGTGCCTTGTGGAGTACGTGCTTCCTGCACGCCGACGATAAAGGCATTACGTGCAAAGAGGGTCTCATCTAGCAAAGTAACCCTGCCGGTACTGCCATGCAAGCCTGCCTGGCCGTCGTCAGCGCCAGTGCCCGGCTGTGCCAAAGACAGGGCATTATAAGTCACAAAAAGGCATCGCCGCCTGTGTGGTGCCCCAGCGGCCTGGGTCGCTTCAGGAGCGGATCTCAAGAAAGGCCTTATGACCTGCTCTGTGGGGATCGTTAAACCCGGAATGGTATCCCCCCATGACATGACATCCTCATATAACGAGGGAGCCTGCATATGGCGCCGGTGCATCCACGCAAGGTGTGGAAGCCACTGAAAGGGGTGGCCGTCGTCCCGAAACCAATGGGGGAGGACTAAGGAAAAGGGGTTATATCCCTGCCTCTGACGCCCCTGCTCAGCCAAAGCGTCGGCGAGTTCGTTGGCCGGATCGCCTTCGTGGCCTTTGACATGGACATAGTCGGGGGCACTAGCAGCCCAAATGCGGAAACCGAAATGTATGCCGCGGCAAGCCCTCCAGATGGAAAGGTCCCCGGATCTGCATTGACCGGCAGCAGCTCCTAGGGCAGCCTCGTTGTCACAACGGAAAACATGGGGGCCACAAAAGCCGAGTTGAAAAGCGGCGATGCCTGCCCACATGAGGCCAATTGTCTCCGCGGTGTATGCATCAAGCGGTGTGGTGACGTCTGCAGCAAGCGACCATTCCTCATCAGTGGACCCGCCAAAGGCGCCGACAAAAAGCCCTGGGAGGCCAGGCGAATCACCGGTGGTAACCGAGACGACAACACCCCAGCCGCCTTGGCCGGACGCAGGGCAGAAGGAGCCGTCGGCTGTGAAACAAATGGTGTGGGCGTCTGCAGGAAAACAACCGGGGAACCCCTCGCCATGCCAATGCAAGAAGCGGTGGCTCCCTGTGAGGGAATCAACAGTAACGTCAAGGCACGCAATGGGGACCCGGTGCAAGACGTCCTGCCACATGCTCTTTGTGATTGGCAGGCGACACTGGCCTGAGTCGAGGTTGATGCAGGGCACATGTGACGGGATGCCCAAACCGGTTGCTGGGTAGCAGTCATCATGTAGTGATGTGGCCAACGCATCGGAGAGCGAGATCCTGACAGCAGGGCCACCTGTGGCACCACGCGGGTCGGCTAAGGCATCGGCTGGTCTGCCCGGATCCTCGTTGTTGACAGCCCCGAAATGCTCAAAAAGGGTCTCAAGCAAGGTCGCAGCCAAGAAGAAGGCAGTCGAATCGGTTGCTTGGATGCTTTCCTCAAGAAGCGTGAAAAGAGCCCTGTCATACTCAGAGGGAATCGATTCAGTGCGGGCGGGGATGCTAACATCAACTGGGATTTCAAAGCATCTGGGTCCGTTGCCCCGTCGCAGGGGGGTAGGAATAGGGCGGCTAGCCGACAGAATTCCATTGACATCGCACCGCACACTCATGTCGCTTTGTGCCCGCTCATAGACTCTTGGTTCGAAGGACCGGTGTTGAACGCCAGCTGCCCTGGTTGGAAAGACGCATAGCCAAAGGAAGGAGCCAACCAGGACCCGCTGATATCCTTGTAGCGGCACCTGTAAGATTAAGAAGGCAACACCCAGGAGGACAGAGGTGTGAACCAAGCTATCGAAGGTTGGGAGACACATGACTACTCGACTGGAGGTGTAGCCTATAGACCCAAGTGGGCGGAGCTCGGAAAGGCCAGGCCCCAGTGACGCGGCCGCGCGGGGCGTAATACAATGGGAATGAAAACAGGCGGATTGTCGGGAACATATGCAAGGAGCAAGAGCCCCGACCCGACTTGTCGGTATAGCCATGGAAATGCCAACGGCAAGAAGCAGGGTTGCTGTCCATCGATTGCCGCCCGAGGGCTGTTTGGCCTGTCCTGCCTGGCAACCTCGGGAGGGCGTCACTGGGACCGGAGCAGGTTGGTGAAGAGAAGGCAAATGCGCGTTGCCCGGCAACGGAAGGGTCTGCGCGCCGGCCTCGATTAAAGGCTGGAAAGTGACAATAAAAACATGTCCTAAACTGACCGCCTGGTCCTGTTCGGGAAGAACCTCTCCGCTGGCGCCGTCAAGTATTCTAGGAACAAAGCCTTCAGGGCATAGACCACTGAAACGACCTGCTACATCATCGCCACGAATGCGGCCAGATGGGGCCCGCCAAACGGAAAGGCCTAGATAGATGGGCCGACGGTCAAGGACAACAAGAACATCTTCTGTGGCCGGTTGTCTCACAGTCCCGTGTCTAGTGGCAAGCATGACTGACCGGCTAGCCCTGCCGAGCGCCGAGAAGTCGCGGATTTGAGGTGTCGAGTCAAGAAGCAAAATATCGGGCTCCTCGATTGCACATAACTCAGCCAATCGATGGCGGAAATCCCCTGAGGCCGGATGGCCACGAAGACTAAAATGCTCCTGCGGGGTGAGTATATACGTTCTGTCATCGAAGAAGCCGGGGGGGAGAGGTGCTTCAGGCCAGGCCGTGTTAGCATCAAGCATCGCCTGTACATGAAGCCTGTGTGGGACCACTGAGGCCGGTCGAGTGATTTGGATGGTGGTACCATGCTGAGGGAAGATCTCCTGTCCAGCCTCGATGGGCCGGTCGGCGTGTCCAACAAAAATCAGCACATGCTCATGGGGGTCTATATCGACAATGGCAAGCAGCGAACCGCGGCTGATGGAAACAGGCACCAGAGCTGCAAAGGCGCGGTCGTCGTAATGGCGGCAGTCAACAAGGACAAAAACCCCGGGCGGTTGCCATTGCGGAACAGCCAAAACCGCACAGTAAGATGGATCCGGCTGGGGATCAGCGGCAAGAAGACCTGGGCTGAGCTGTCTAAGTTGCCCCGGGCGGCACGAGTTAACTCTAGCCAGCAGTGGTCGAATCGGTGTTCCCCGTCGTGCTTCAACCTCAACGAACTCGACAAGCCTGTCTGGGGAGTAAACTAGGAACTGGATCATATAGACGGTGCTGCCTTGCGGCAGTGCCGCGAGTGGACGATGGTCTCCAAGAATGGCATACCCAGCGTTGAAAACCGCAGGTGCTGGCGAGATGTGGAAAGGTCCGATCCGGGGAGGGACATCCCGGTAGGCGCGAACGGATATCACGGCGCCTGGTGCAGTGTGAGCTATCCCCTGTTCGCCTAGGGCAATATCCAAGGCTGGGAGCCAGCCGGGGGGGCACAATGAGCGCAGATCGTCTATCAGATCCCGGCTATCAATGCTATCTGCCTGCGGCCACACAGTACGCCATCCAGCTAGAAAAATCCTAGAGTCAAGGATCACGGCATGTTCAGAGCCGCGGGCGTGCATATCGAGCTCGGAGACGGCCACAATGCACGTGCGGCAAATCATGCCTGCGGAAGCTGCATTGGGAACGCGGGGGTTGGCAGGAAAAACCCGAACCTGGACCTCGGGAATACCTGCTGCTGCCGCGACTGTGGCTCGGTAACGGAAAGGTTCGTTGATATCAACCGAAACTAGCCGGCCCCCACTATCATCTACAAGACAGTATAGGCCATCCGGTGACACCTCCGGGAATGGGGGTGTAGTGCTCCAGGCCATGGGCGAAAGCAGTAGCTGGGTAAGCGAGCTGTTTTGACCTGGGAGCCTGCCACTATGGAGAATGCGCACGTTCTCACCCGGAAAAAGATGAACCTCTACCCCATCTTCTAAGGGCTCCTCAAAGAAACCCAGAAAGACTGCTACGTCGGGGTCATCAGCAGACCAGCGGTCCACACGAGCATAGTGCAGTAGTTGCTGTCGGCTGCAATAAGCCGGAACATGTTCAGCGAAGATACGACCGTCGTACCCAATAAGGTCGAAACAGACAATCATGGACACACCCTGCCAGTTAGGACAGCCTATAAAGACTCCATGGCCATCAATCGGCTGCGGCGAAACATCGACGAGGTAAGGAAAGTCCTCAGCAAATTGCGTTTGTCTGGCGGCCTGTAGCGCATCGGTGGCCTCTTGCAGTGTGGCTGGCATTGTGAGGGTGATCATGCGTGTATCAGGAGCATAACCCGGAACTAAGACTGTAAAACAGGCCCAAACCGGAGTGGCGAGGGCCTCATCATCGTCACTGCCAGAGAGGATGTCATCGTCGGTATGTGGGCCGCCATCTGCCGGGAGGTAAGGCCATGGGTGGCCCATGCGCACGGTGATGCGCCGCAGATCCGCCAACATAGAGGAGTCCGCCGAGGAATGACATATTGGTTCGTACAGGATTTTACAGGTGCGCTGAGGCCAGACCCGAACCAGGGCAGAAATGAAGCCGGTGGACTCGTCGTGAAGCGTCTCCGGGTCCTGGCCGGTTGCGGGTGGTGTGCCACCTGAGAGCCCGTCTCGTAAGCGGCTGAGCGCCCTATGTCATCAAAAGACATACCGCGGCAGGCGCCTATGTGTAAAAGACAAAATCCCCCACTGCAGATCACTAGGGCCCCCAGGAAGACCCCGAAAGGCAACTGCTCGTTTTGATCCTCTACTTTAAAGCCCTGAACTGGCAAGCACATCAGGCTGGAGACTGCAAGCAGACCGATATGACTTCCGGGGCCTGATCCCCCTGTGCACTCATGAGGCGAGTCCCTGCTTCGGGAACGTTCACGCCTAACTCTGCGGTTGCCACGTCGGGCAGGTCCAGGCGGCGGTCTTGGAGAGCTCGGACTATCGGAGTCCGAGTTGCCCTCGTCGCTGCCAGCAGAATTAGGGGTGGAGGGGTGTGCAGCGGAAATGTCGCTCCCATCCCCAAGCAGATCACTGCAATATTCGATGGTGATAACCTGACCCGGACGGATCTGGAGGTAGGTGCGGTCGTCACTCCGAACAGGGACACCACCCTCTATAGAGGTGTAGTAGCCATTAGGTGATGGAAACTCTCGCATCAGGGCTTCAGCGTCAACCTCATCTCCTACGACAACCCGCCATCTGAGGTCGCCGAGGATGGGGCGAGTATCCAAGATGTAAATCGTCTGATTGCAAAAGGGCCGCGCCGGGGGCATAACAACATCCGGAACAGCTTCAGTAGCAACCAGCACTTTGCTACATCCCCGTCCCGAGGCATCATAGTTGTCAATGTGAGGAGAAGGCCGCTGTATATGCAAGCGGTCTGGATCGGCCCGTAGGTATGCTGCCACAAAACTGTGTAGGCGACCGACCGTCTCCAAGCATGACACTGGGACCGCAACAGCAGTGTTCCACGCATCAGTAAGCACATAGACCATGTTCTGCAATGGAGTCACCATACGAGGGCAGGGAACCGTCCAACGGTTCGCACGTCCAAGCATCTGTGTCAGAGTGGTGGAAATGGGATCGACCCCATCCCATGGAATAAGAGAGAGCGTGTCGCCTTTGGACAGGCGAACCGGACTGGTATCGTCAAGCACAGCGCCACGGTGGTAGATTTTAGGGCCATGCCTCGGGTGAAGGCCAAGCTGGGCCCTGATAGAGCGCAGGAATAGCCCGTCTTCCATCTGTGCGCAGAAGAGCCTCCCATCGATCTGCCGAGCATCGACCGCAATGAATACTAAAGAGTGTGCCCATTCCGGGACTGCAATGAACGTGCAGAACGCATCCGATGGTTGGGGAGCAGCTACAATAATGTGTTCGTATACACAGAGCAGCTGACTCCGTCGTGCCTCCACGAGCACGTTGCAAGCCTGTTGCGGGGAACATGGTGTGGAAATCTGAATGTCGTGATATTCTGGCGCTTGGCGCGGGAGAAGCACGACACAGCCAACAATGGCTGGAGCAGAACTGAGGTGCGTAATCTCCATCGGCCTCATGACGGCATCGGCAGTCCTGGGACTTACATCGGCAGCCGAGAGCATAAACAGCTCGTGATGATCAACGATCGACCGTCTTTGATGGCCGGCCTGGTCGGCTTGAGGCATGTCGCCGGCAAATGAATAGTCAATGTCCTCTGGTTCGAAGCCGAAGCAAATGACTGTGCCTGCTTCCACCTGAACGCCTGACGGTTCCAAGCTGTGGTGCTCCGCGTATGGGCGGTAACCCGTTGGCGGCCAAAGGCCAAGGTACTGCACTGCTTTGTTGGTTTGCATCAAGCGAGGGGTCTCAAACAGGAAGCTGATACCTCGGCCTGTTGAACGGCAGTCAAGAAAAACGAAACATCCGAGGTTTGGCCCCGGTGGAATATCTTCCGACCTGGGGTCTGCTCCGATAATAATCGGGGTGCGATAGCCATTGTGGACTACATCCTGCAAGCCCTCATGTGGCAGTGGAAAACCGAAGCTAACATTATGTACCTCACGATACATCGCCCTGGCGATTGCAAGGTGAAGGTGCTCCTCGGAGATGCAGCGATACGGGAAGGCCACAGCAGAGTCCTGTCGCAGGACAAGGCAGGATCCCACGTCTTGCTCGGCTGAGATATCAGTGGGAAAAGCGGCCCATAGGTCCGGTTGGCTAAGCAAAAAGTCAATGCTGTGGCCCCATTGTGGACCATCTTGGGATGGCGCAAACCGAATGACATCCCCTGAACAAACCAAAGAGGACGATCCCCTACTAATCGGCCGAAAATCCTTATACACAAAGGCTTCCCAAAGGCGGGTCGTGTGCAAATTGGCCTCAAGCTCAAGGTCGCGGTATGTGATTCTGTCATGGACGAAACGGGCATACACCGGCCCATTCAAAGCCGAGAAGTCCATAATGACGATCCGCCTGAAAGAGGCACCCAACCACTTAGGTATGAGCAGAAAGCTTGCGTACCCGCTTCCCAGCTGGGGCGTGGTGGGGATGAGTGACGCTGGTGCAAGTTCCTGAAGTCGAATGGAGCATGCAGACACCGCTTGCAAGGCGTGCTCAACCCCTGAGGCAATCGGCATAGTGACATCGTGGTGCTCAGTGACAAAATCGGCCGCAAAGACAACGCAGTGCAACGAAGGCTCGCCGCTGCTCGAAGCTCCCTCTGGGCCTGCACTACTGGGGTCTCCTGGAAATGGTTCAGCTGCAAAAACCTGGTCGGGATTTACTTCGGCATCAGGTGGGGACAAATGGGAACCAACGGGATGTCCTACTCCTAGATGGTCAATGGCATCTGACACATCCATGGCTTTAGGAGCCGCCCAAACCAAAGAAGGAAGCTGGAGCCACATCAGGAGGCGCAGAGCCAGCTTGGCATGCCAGGAGCCGGTCGTCCTACTGCAGCGTCCATTTCTGGGCCGGGGCCGCCACCGAAGGCAAACATGCTCACATCTCCCGACAGAAACTGCAAGCACAAAGGGAGAGAGAGGGGCTCCGGCTGCAAACCTGTTTGCTAAACGACGGCAAGAAGTAGTGCCTCGAGTAGCGGCACAAAACCAGAGGCTAGCACAACAGTGTAGGCAGGCCAATGCCAGTAGGACTCCGCATCCCTCAAGCTGGGAAGCAATCCATTCAGATGGCGAGGACTCGGGATGAAAATGGCCGTGGGCGGTGGGTACCCCTGCGCCACCGATGTACCTCTTAGGCACCGCAACCTGGCCACATACCCCTATGGAAAACCGGCTAGGGGTAGAGGAGAGGCCTAAACCCCTAATGGGAAGAGAGGGGCAGGCCCAGCAAGGCCGGGAAATCCACGCAGAAACATCCGGCATGCAGACAAAAGCACGGGAAGAGCAGCCTTGAAAGGTGGCGCTCGTAGGTAATCCAAGATTGAGAAAAATGAGCCGGTAGCGGAAAGGCCGAACAGAGACGGCGGCTCCTCGGAGATGAAAAGACTCAGTGGCACAAACCCAGTGTCCTGAGACCTTTCGATGAGGGAGGCAACAGCCACGCCAACAGATGTCACAAACCCAGTGACACTGGAGGCGGACTGGCCTAACAAGGGCATATCGGGCGGCTGTACACGAGAGGGAGTGCCGAAAGAAAACCTCCAAACGGTCCTGTACAGCACTTATATTACTGCTGACATCACATCGGCTCAGAACCAGCCGAGGCCAGCGACCCAACCTGCTGTCCCATTGCCCGCCGGACGTCGTGAGCAAGGGAGTTGTTGCCCACAACAACTCCGATGTCATCAGGTCCGCAAGGCTGATGAAAGCAGGGGGTGGCTGACCCGCCGGGCCAAAGGCGTGAAGACCTCTTTGCCAGTCGTAACAGGCCGCTACTCCATTCGCCCAAGTCCTTGGCTTCCTTGCTCGTGATCCGAAGCCTCGTCCAGGTCGATTCGAGTATGTGTCGGCCCTGTGTCTACAGAAGGGCCGGAGGCCTGCTCTGGGGCAGGCGTGCCGTCTGAAATGCCCGGCCCCGCCACACTGCCGGGTGGGTGTGCCGTCCTCAGCTGATTGCCCAATCCGAACGGCGTCATGGCCGCCCCCATCTCCGCTGCCCTTCTCGCATCCAGCTTGGCTTCGAGAGACGGCCCGGTCACCGGGACCATGTTCGGAGCTGTCTTCGGCTTGACAACTCGTTTTGCCAGCGCCTGCCGCATCTTCTCTCCGGGTGACGCATTGGGAGAGGGGAGCACTCTCTGCATCGCTGTGCTCGGAGAGCTTTGAAAGGGCGTAGGGCTGACAGACTCGGTCGCCATGGTGTTCATCTTCGATCCAAGCGTGGTAGGGGTACCCATAGGCGCTGGGCTCATCATGGGGGGTCCTTCTGGCGGCTTGGTAGTATTCAAGGCACATGTCTCCATAGGTGGAGGAGGTGGTGGCGGAGCAGGCTGTGGTGCGGCAAGCGGCATGCATGTCGGAATTGGCGCCCCACCAAACATCCCGGTTGAGAGTGCCGTAGAGTCCGGAACGCGGGACGGAGCCGCAGGCATCTGCACCTCCCCAGTTGTCATAAAACCTGTCATGGCCGGTGGCTGCAGCGGGCTCGGCGATCCTCCCACTAGAGAAGCCACTTGCAGAGCCTCCTTCAAGAAACCGGTAGTCGGTCCCATAGCAACATCCTCCGACGTCATCATCGATGTCCAAGCTGCTTCTGCTTCTGCCGCGTCGTCGTTGGGTTTCTGGACCCCGTTGATCACCAGGTCTTTGACCCCTGCGGCCGCTTGCTGCCCTTGGAAAATTGCAGCCTGTTTCTCCTTCTCCAGCCGTTCGACGTCTGCCCGTACTCCTTCTGCTGCTTCGCGAACTTGAGCTTGGTGTCTCGTTGGTACTGTGCCCAAAGCGCATCTTTGCGCTGCCGCTCTTCCGTAAGTCGGCGGACACGAGTGTCTGCCCTCTTGGCGGCCGAGAGCATCTTTTGCATTTCTCTCATGAGCACGGAATCTTGTGGTTCCAGGGCAGCAGGCATTACAGGCTCCAGGCCTGGCTTCGGGCCTTGCAAAGCCACCTGGTCGTATCTGCCTTGGTCCTGCCTGGAGCTGCCCGGTGATGCAGACTGCCATGACCCATGCCACAAACGCCAGTTTTGGCCGCGGTCTCTGCCTGTCTGTTCCTTGCGCCAAGGTGCCTGCTGGTCTCCCCATTTTCCTTGTTTGCCCATGGGCGGACGTAGTTCCCGGTATTGAGGGGCGCTATGGTGCGCCGTAAGTAGCCGCAAGTCCTTGGGGACGAGCTGCCCAAACACGGTGGCGTGCCCTGGTTCGTAGAAGTCGCTGTTTCCGGTGCCAATGCGGTGATCGCGGAATGGCTAGCAACCCGAGAAGCGAAAGGGCACTGGGGCTCTAGCAATACCCTCCCAAAGGGTTCGATCCAGAGCGCCTGGTTTTGAGGCCCATTATACTATAATTAAACAGAGGAACCCTAAGATAGTGTAGGTAATTATGAAGACCACTTTTTTGAACTTTTCTAACACCCTTACAGTATCCCGTGAAGGAACCCTGTATTCTAATCATGAAGACCCGTATTATATTAAACCTATAGTACCTTTATAGTATCCCTTAAAAGGAACCCTCTATTCTAATTATTAAGAACCCCATATCACTCCCTTACAGTACCCTTATGGTATCCCAAAAAGGAACCCTATGTTGTAATTATGAAGAACCCTATATTGAATTTTATAATAGCCCTTATAGCAGCCCGTATAGACACCCTTAAAGGCCCCTATACGAAGACTCCTATATCGCAAAGCCCTTATATGAAGGCCCTTATAGTAGCCCCGAAGGTAGCCCTTATATGAAGGCCCCTGTATTAAGGCTCCTATATCACAAAGCCCTCTTGAGGTGGCCCATGGAGCAGGTGGACGGCCACAAGTTCCCCAGGTCAACGAAACTGAAGGCCCGGGCTCGGATCCGAGGGTCCCTTAAGGCGCTACTTGAGGCTGAGGGAGTTCCACAGGGTAGGGTAATATAGGGGCCTTATATATAATCATTACCTATACTGTTTTGGGGCCATATTGCTATAATTATGGTAGAATGGCCCCAAAACCGTATTCTAATTCTGTTAAAGCCCCTATAGTAGTCGGGTAGAGGGATCTCCGGTCCCAGCTTTGTCTAACCTCAGCTTCGGACAGGCTGGAGCGGTCGATGAAGATGCTCCTCGAACGGCGGAGCACCTCGGAGGGCAACTTCCATTGTCATGCAAGCCAATATGGGAGTTTCCGAAACTAGGGGACCCAAATATAGTACCCTGAATAGTAGGATCCTTATCATACGGACCCCAAAATAAGGTACCCCCAATTTTCGGAAAGCCTCATATGCCCTCACCCCGCTGTCTTTAAGAGAGGCCTTCATTGTGCATAGTAAAAATGGTATTCTTAGGTTCCTCGTATATGTGGATAGATATAGATAGATAAGTAGCTAAGTAGATAGTGGCAAGTAGCCTATATGACCCGAAACCCTAACCTATGTACGGCCCCGCTCTCTAAACAAGGGTCTCAAATATTTACCAATACTGCTTTGGAGGTTCCTTATTATCATTCTAGTATCATGTGCCCCAAAACCCTATTCTAATTATTAAGGCACCCAATATGGAACCCTACTATAGATCCCTTATAGAACCCTTTAGGGATCCCTTTAAAGGAACCCCTATTCTAATTATTAAGGCACTTATATTCATTTCCCCGACTGTGCAAAGGCTGGAAGATGCCCTGCGTCTGAACCTGGCTCCTCGGCGAGCACAGCAGAAAGCTGCCCAGTTTGATGCCCTCGGGAGCTCCAGGATACAGTGTTATCTATACATATATATAAGTATATTTATATATATATATATGTATTTATTTGTCCATTCTTTTGGTTCATTTCCAGATTATGTATAACAGATTCTACATTATAGTTTTATAGTTTACGAAACTGCAGAGCCTCTGGTATGTTTGCGTCGGTGTAGCAAAAGCTGTGGCGGGGCACAAAATTTGAATGCTTGGTACCCCCTCAGGTCCGGAAGCTTACCTGCAGCGTGTCTCCATAGATCGGTATCATTCTCAGCAATTATTAGTAGTAGTATCCGTATCAGTATCAGGATTAGTTGTAGTATCCGTATCGCTACGAGTATTGGTATTCGTAATTAGTACTAAGCTTTCTGAATTTCTTCAGTATTCGTAGACTTAGGGTCGGTTTGAGTTCGAGCTCTCATAGCCCAAGCAGAGCCGAGGAGCAGCTGCAAAAATGGCTGGCCGAGCAGGAGACATGCCTTCCGCAAGCCTTGCAGCTCCCAAAACCGTGAAACACCCTAATCCTTAAATCTCTAAGCCCTAAAACCCTGAACCCTAAACCCTGAAACCCTAAACTCTAAACCCTGAAACCCTAAACTCTAGACCCTAAACCCTGAACACCAAATTAACCCTTTCGGCCCCGATCGTTTGACCCAAAGGCTCTCGAAGTTGAAGCCAGCCAGGATAAGTACGAATCGAAAACGTGGCCCTAAACTTAGTGCTATTGTTGATGATATAAATCCTGCATTACCTTAAGGACCCAAACTATGGGAATTATGGTATGTTCCTTATACTTATAACGGGTAATGCAGGATTTCTATCATCAACCGTAGGATTATGAATTATGTCATCCAAGCAACAATGGTCACGACACCTGTTCTTCCGCTGATACTGCCACTGGTAAACATACAAGGAGCATAATTACGAGTTGCGGCGAGACTATCAAGAACAGCAGGAGCAAGCCGAACCAACACAACAAAGATAACAACAGCAGTGACAATTGTCATCATCTCACCGATACGAAGTAATCGTA